AAAAAGCTGCAGATTTGGACCAGTTCAGAAAAAAAAATGAAAATGGCTTGACATGATTTAAAACAAAAACAATCGGTGTGAAGAACCTTCACTTATACCGCTGTATTCATTGTTGTCATATAAACTTCACAAGGGTTTAAGATAATCCTTCTTTGCCTGAATAGTCACCTTGGCCAATTTCTAGCTGCTTATCCTTTCTTGCTTGCTAATGTCCAGGAGGAGTCAATGGAGTGGCGTCAGTTTCAGGCCGATCTGCAGACAGCTGTGGTCATAGCTAATGACATCAAGTCAGAAGCACAGGAAGAGATAGGAGACCTGCGGCGCCGGCTGCAGGATGCCCAGGAGAAGAACGAGAAGCTGAGCAAAGAGCTGGACGAGGTCAAGAGCCGCAAGTAAGAGCAACGGGTCGACATTTTGAGGAGATCCTCTGGTCACACTGACAAATCATGTCAGGGCGATCAAGAACAGGCCACATGATCTTTTTTTATTTATTACCCGTATCAGCTGTGTAGATCTGTGTGTGTCAGCTCAGCAGAGTGCCGTTGGTTTTTCAGGCAGGAGGAGGAGAGAGGCAGAGTCTACAACTACATGAATGCAGTGGAGAGGGACCTGGCAGCGCTTAGACAGGGGATGGGTCTCAGTCGGAGATCCTCCACATCCTCTGAGCCGTCGCCCACCGTTAAAACACTCATCAAGAGCTTTGATAGTGCCTCACAAGGTACCACAGCAGCTAGAGATGCTCTGTTCTTTTCATGTTGGTTGATGTCACCATTTGCAGCAATAGTAGCTAGTGTGTGTCAATGTTTCATGTTTTTTCATTTTATTATTGTTGGCATAAACTGTTTTATCTTGTTGTCCTGTGGCACAATTATGCAATTTTAATAAATGTGTTATTTGAATTTCAAACTGTTTCTGTAGGTCCACCGTCTAATGGAGCCACAGTTGCTCCCACGGTCTCAGCTCCTCCCTTACCTCGGACCCCCCTAAGCCCCAGTCCCATGAAGACGCCTCCAGCAGCTGCTGTTTCACCTATGCAGGTGCTGGAAAAAATCAATTTGGATTATTATGGTGGTGACATTTTTATCTCTAGAAGTACCCTGATTTTCCCTTTTTTCCATAAATATTTTTAGTATTAATTTAGTGGAATAAAAAAAACTGTTTTCTCACCCCTCGTGGGGTGGTATGTGT